AAGTGCTCGCTGGCACTGTCAACCCTTCCTGGCTGGTAAACATTGCCATGCCACATAATAAACTGGCTTATTTCAAAGGGTTTTTCTTTGCCAGATTCACAATACTTATTATCATTAGAAGAGGCGGAACTAAAACAGCAAAAGTCGACGAAAGAAATTATTGTTCAGGGTGCTGCAAAAACATTATTAGCGTATGTGGGTCACAAATACTCCTTTTCCATTTCACAGAAATCTTGCGAACTTGTAGGAAGCGTTGTTATTCTAGCGTGTTTTCCACCGCACACAACTTTTTGCCATAAATACGAATATTCTCCATTTTGGGTGAACAAAAATTTTACCAGCCATCGCTTCTTCCCGGCTTATTTATTTGTTTTATTCTAATAATCTGTGCCAGCACTCCCAAAGGAAACACTTGTAAGCGGAAGCGTAAGTGACTGCCAACATTCCAGCTTACTCTTTGCTTGGATAAAATACCTTTCCTTTTTCCACGTATATATTAGCGTACTTGTTTTCGTGTATTGTTTAAGAGCCTTGTTATTCCTGAAATTATAATGGTTTGTTTAACTTATTATTTATATGTTAGCGCCAAGGAGCAAAAGCCATATCGAGAACTTATTAACTGGGGTTTTAAAATCAATAGTCAGTGATTTTGATCATAATCAAATGTTACAGATATGCATGTAATGGCTAAACTATTACACTCAATTCCCAATTACTCAATAGTAACTAGATAATATATTTTATCTACTGATTTTCTCCTAAAACATATACATATACCTAATTGGATATGCTGCTGGTTTTGTATAAACTCTCATCTTTCAGGATCATCCTGCCAGTTATCCTAACTTTTTATTGAATGAGTCAGTCAATAACTTCATCGTCCTTGCTTAAAATCATCGAAGCTTACACTCATCAACAAAATTGAGACGGAGGAACGGACAAAAAAAAGAAAAACATTTCTGTTCAAATATTATGGCAGTGGCAATATTTACATTTTCACGCTTTTCACGTTTCGGCTGACTTGCCATTTGCTCATTTTTGGCACTTCGATATCTCGTTTTATCTGTATCCATCTATATATCTATCCATCCATCCATCCATCCGTCGAACTTTTCTGTGCACTTTGCTCTTCTTCAACGCTTCGTTTGCCGCACTGGGCTTGCCAAAATAATATTCGTAAATAATTTTTGCACCTTGATGTGATTTGTGCGCAAAAATGTTTTCCAAATGATTTGTTTGCCTAGGTATTTGCTTTTATCTGCTTTTCCCTGCTGTTGGGCAATAGACAGAGGTGGGTTCGGAAAAACCGGAGCAGGAGCACTCAGTGTAATTGTATTTGCCTTTCGAGCTTCCTTCGCGTCATTTTACGCCCACGCAGCGAAAGTCAAACACAAACAAATAAAGCGGTAAAGGGAAAGAGGAGCGCCAAAGAAAATGGGAGAGGGGTTGGGTGGTGCTGTGGCAACGGAAGCGAGGAAAATGTGTGCCGGAAAATGGCGATGCACATTGATTAAATCAAATAAAACGAAGGCAAATAAGAAAATTGGATAAAGGCAATACAACAATATTAGTTCGTCAATGCCAACATATTTTTGCATACTTCGAGTGCAGAGGAAAATTGAAAATGGTTGATGAATACATACAAAATACGATTGTAACTCGATTTTAACATAATTTTTGTGGTAAATTTCGTTAATTGTAATATCTAAAATATGTTCAGAAAATTAAAAGGCTTTTAACAGACTAGGTTTAATTACACATTGTGGTAAAACCGTTATATTAAACTGATTCAGCAGCTTTAACGAAATTAAAGACTAAAAACATAAACATAAGCTGCAAAAACCCTAATAGATAATTGGTTTAGTTTAAGAAGATAAGTTTAAGATTAAGTTTCCCATCCGATTGGCGCGTATCAGTAGCATTAATACCCCTTTCTTGCATCCTTGCAGTTGGCTTCGGGAAACGTGATGCCAAGTTTCCCAGAACAACTTTGTTATTTCACAAACAATTTCCATGGCACGCAGGCTGGCAAGCGGTGCGCAAAGCGCGAGCATGTGTAAAAGGCGGCGGAACGTGCGTGATGCGGAAAAGTCTATAATTTAAATATGAGTGTTGTAACACTTTGCTTTAATGGATGTTACTTGTGTGGCTACAACAAATTGTCGGTCTGTGGCCGCCAGTAACTGACTCATTGTCAGTGAAAAAATGTTAGCTCCGCGGCGGCAGAGGGTGATAAACAGCTTTAAAGTAATCGACTTGCATAATAAGCATAAAATATAATGCCCATATAAGCTAACAAAGTACCGAGAGAGCGCAGGGGGAGAAATAAAATAAAAGTGGATGGAAAAGTTGCGAACTGTAGACCGTTTGCCACTGCCACTGATGGCACCACTACCAATGATGATGTCATCAACGCCACGCAAGGATGTTCCCGAATTATGCATCCTGGTGGATGAATCCCCCGGTCGAGGACACAAGCTTCCATCCCCGAAATCAATAACAATAACAGGAGAGTTGAGAGTTGAGAGATCTGCCGCAGACGTCGCCAACTCTCCGGCCAGACGTCCCGCCAAAGTGGCGCCAATATTTTTAGCCGTCTCGCTTCCGGATCGGGGTTGATTACCTCCCCCACCCGGAAAATCCAGCCGGAAAAGCCACCCCCTCTAGCTCTGCATCTCTGCCCTGTTTGTGCTGTTCCGTCTGACTTGTCATGGCTTTTTGATGGCTCTGGTTTGGGGCTTTCCTTCGATAGTTTTCACAGTTGGCCCCTCAACTTTTATGCATTGTCGCCAAGTGTGTTCTTTTAGTTTGGCCCCTGTGACTCATGTACCATGGCTTATTTAAGCCTGATGTGCATAAATTCATTTACCTTAAACAAGAAAATTTCTTTGAAAGCGGCAACTTTCCCAATCAGAAATTTCCCTCCCTCGAGGGCAATTTGAAATTTTTAATTGAAAATCTGATTAAGTGTGTGTACTGTAAAGAAATTGTTTCTTCTTTCCATTGTTTTTTTACTCATATTTTTAAGACCTGCGGTTTTTGGCCAAGTTTTAACTTCACTTTGAACTTTTAATTGCCGTCTGGTCTTAATTGATTAATAATTAATTAAAGTCTGACAACTTCAGGTGCGATTTTTCACCCTTTTAATTGATTGGCTAAATGCCTAGGCAAATTGAGATATCCGCGGGGCTCACGAAAATTGATCTTAGCTTCTTAAAGTAGTTTTGAAGCCACTTAAGAAATAATTCCTTTTTTTTTAAGTGAAGGCATGCCATGCCTTTATTTTGTTCTACCACCTTTCAATTAGAAAAGCGAATAACACAAGAAAAAGCATTACCTTATCAGTTGTAAAACGTTTTTCCTCTTCAAAGACCAAATAAAAACCTTAGATGACGTACATTCAGTCATTCTGTGACTAATAATTTATATAACTTAATTAAAGTCCTTTTTAAGTCACAGAAAAGATAGTTATAACTTGTACTTTTGTTTTAACTTATTTTCTATTTACGTATTGCAACCACGCAGACTCACTCATCTGGTCGCACTAATTAAATAATAAATTTAAGTAGAGACATGTATATATGTTCGCTGTCTTTTGACCAGCGCATTTGTTTTATGTCATCGTCGTTTCATAAAAAGCTTTTGCCATGACGACAAGGACGACCTGCACTTGCATCCCGCCACTGCATTCACATTGCGTTTCTGTTTCTGGTAATTACTCAAGCAGACGTCGAGGATTCGAGTAGGACCTCCTCCCCTTTTTGCCCTTTTTATTTCCCTCCCCCCGCCAACAAACCACCCACTCGTCGGCTGGCAAACATAATGAACATATGTGACTACTCGTGACACGGCACACTGACGTAAAAAGGCTCACTCCAACACACACACCCACACATGCACACAGAGACAAGTGGGCGTGTTCACTGGCTGCACAGAAGGAGAGTGGGCGTGGCGAGGACATTACGCGCACATAATTCTAATTAGTGGCATATGCCACCAGAAAGCAGATAGAAAGGCCCATAGTTTCCAGTGCATGTCCATGTCTCAAATTATGTTATTACGCCTTTTGAGCGCCCAGATTATGTTGCATTGACTGCGGCGAAAAACAAACTCAGCCTACGCAAGGCCTACGCAAAAAATCTATTAAAATTTAAAAACTTAGCTTCAACTACTTTATATAGGAAACCTTTTTCCAGAGAGAAAATTTTTTCAAATTCAGAAGGTCTGTTTGATTTTTTCAAAATCTGACACACAATTTTTAAACATTTAATTATAGTAATGTTTTGCAAAAAATGTCTATGTCTAAGGACTAATTACTATATAATTAATACATATTTTTGAGGATTAGATTATAGCTTATCGTAGTTACCAACACTTTTACAGAATGCTTTTTGCCTATTTGTTATACCCTTGCTGAGGGTATTATAATTTCAGTCAGAAGTTTGCAACGCAGTGAAGGAGACGTTATTGCAGGTAGTATATTAGTCGGAACGAGCCGGATCGGACGACTATAGCATATAGCTCCCATCGGAACAATCGGAAAAATTAATAAAACAAAATTATAACTTTGCTGTTTTTTAATTTATTTTTGTATTTCTTCAAAATAAAGTAATGGTTAAATATTTCAGAATTACGTTTTAAATTTCATCAAAATCGGACGACTATAAAAAATAGCTCACATAGGAACAATCGGAAAAATAAATGAAAAAAATTATAACTTTGCTGTTTTAAAATTTTTTTTTTATTTCTTCGACATATTGTAATGGTTAAATATTTCAGAACTACTGTTTAAATTTCATTAAAATCGGGCGACTATAACACTTAAGCTCCTATGGCAATAACTGCAAGGGTATATGAACTTAGGTCTTCCGAAGTTTTGCTTCCTTTCTTGTTTTCAAATATGATCAGTTTTTGTTTTAATCAAAAGTAGGCCTTGACTAAACCAGCTTAGACCCTTCTAAGCAATTCCAACTTTTAGTCACTCTCAAAAAATTTTTGGAATCATAAAGATCAACACAAAATTGTGATTTTGCCCTTGCAATAGCTAAACAGAACTTTTTAAGAAATGTCCAATTTAGATGATTTCTTCGCCAAGAAGGACAACAAAAAGTCAAAAAAAAAAAGTCAAATTACTTGGCTACTGATGAGTTGTACAAAACGCTTGAAGAATCCGTGAAGCAGACACCGGAGGTTGGCAATGATCCCGATATAGATTTGGGAAACGAGGATGTAGTAGTAGAATTTGGTATTCGCCCTTTGGATGAAACCATTGATGACGAGGACGAATGGTGTGACTTTACAGAGCAGAATCGCAAGCACTACACTAGTCTAGGTCGTGGAATCCAGTTAAGACTTAGGTCTACTATTCACGCTCCATTAACAGGCGGTGAGGCCAAAGTCAAGGAGTCTGAGCAGCGGGACACCGGAGGCGATGGCATAGACGTGGGTCAAGTACAGAATGACGCTGTCTTCAATAGCCTATGTCCCTGGCAGAAGACGGAGAGCCAACTTCAGCAGGAACCAAAAGATCAAATCAACGATGAGCAACCGGAAAAGCAGGAGGATTTAATCGATATCAAGAGCCAAGTCTACATACCACCTGCTCTGCGCCAGAGCCAAGGTGACTTCAATCAACGCCATCAGGTGGAAAACCGCCTGCGCAACACCAACACCCCAACGAAGAAGTCGGGAAAACCTCAAGCGCCCGATATCAATTGTCCCGAATATTTTCCCAGCCTAAATGGCTCCAAAATATTCAAACGCACCAAGTAACCAAGAATGCTTTGTTTTAAGTTTTTTCCAGTTTGAAGTTAACTGAGATCAATTATCTGTGGAAGTTTGGGAGCACAGACTTGCGCCAATAAAAATGAAAGCACGCCGCTAACCCCTCTGTTCTGTGGTATTTTACTCGTAAACAAATTTGCACTCAACAGGCCCATTAGCATTACACGACTTTTTGGGTACTCCCCGATGTGTCGTTAGCGGTAAACGAGCCAAATATTTACAATCAAATCGCTTTTAGCCCTAAATGCACCCGGTGGACTGCAAGCAAAACCAAAAACAGGCAAAACCGGTCTCTTATTTTTATTAATTGGCAAGCTATAAATTTAAATTTATATTAAATATTAACTTAGTTTTGCTCTATGTACATACAAGATAAAGTCTAAAGCCAAGACAGCTCGCAAGTCTGATGTCGCACATCAATAAAAATGCAATCTTTATACGCAAAATTTATTAACATCTATTGCTGTTGGTTAAAACGGGAAGTTCCTAGTCAGATCCTCAACGTGATATATCCCAACAATTTTCGGCACACACAAATTTTTGGTTCCACTTTGTTTGCTAGCGTTTCTGAATGGATCTTCATTTTCAACGAGGCTTCAATGAGGCACTGCTTTGAGCTCCATTTCGGGATGGCGGATTGATAAATCCTACTTTCCTTCTAAGCAGGCTAACAATGTCCTCCGTAGGGCCCGTAGCACGAACAGCTGCCGTATGGGCCGCAAGGACCACAGCAGTGGTTGATCGAGCGGAACCACTGGCCATTATACGGTCCGCACAGCAAACAGGGCCCCAGTCCGCCAGTCGGTCCACAGCAAGTGCCGGGCATCGTACACATTCCTGGGTTGCACATCTTTGTCTGCCAACACAAAATCTCTTATATTAAACAATTTAGTACAGGGTGGTGCCACAGAAATTACTAGGGCTTGGAAATTACTTAAAAATGTGTGAATGTAACAGTATGCCACAATATATTTAACTTCCGGAATTCCGTGGTATTAATTCTTTTTTGTTGCATAATTCAAAAGACACATTTGAAAGTAGTTTCAAAACCCTAGTGTTTTTTAAGGAACCTCCAGAAATATATTTTTTACTCACATTAGCCTGTTTACGGAAATAGGATTTTTAGCCCAAAAAAAATTTGGTAGTCGTCCAAAAAGATGTTTTCTGTTAGAGAAACCAAACGAGAATGAACCTCACATACTCCTTTGGGAAACTAGGTTTAAAAGTTATAACTTTGATTTCATGGCCTTCTGAGTGGCATACTTTTTGATAAGCCCAAATATACTCCTTTAAATAATATTACAGTTGCGCCATAATTTTCCTGTTTATGTACATTAATATTTGAAAGCTGCTCTCGACTGTCCGTGAATCCAATTGAATTAAACTTCATTGCTCATCTTTAAATACTACAGTGCGTCGATGTAGGGCTCCTTATTCCCTCTAACTCTCGATGTCATAATTTAGCCAAAAGGCGCAACAAGTTGGAAAAGCCCGCGACAGATTTTTCCTTTTGCTTTCGCTTCTATTGTTTTACCGAGAGCAGAGTTTTCTTAAGCATTTTGTGTGGTGCAATGCACACAAACCTATTTTTCTTCTCAGCCGGGATTCCGTCTTCTTGTTTACGGACAACAGAGTCGGGACTCGCACTCAAAGTGAAGTAAAAGTCACTTGACAAGTTTTGTCACGTGCGTCACATGCTGGAATTTCCTTCCCTCGCCCCCTGGTGGAAACCCATTTTTCCGAGGCGCCCCTTTATGCTCCCTGGCTTCTGAGCATTTCGAGCAATTTTCCAGGCATGCTTTGTCGCTCCTTTCGTTGTCGTCATTTCATTGTTTCAAAATTGTTGCTCATGTTGTTGCTGTTGTTGACCCGGTTTGCCGTATTTTTTGTTGGTCCCCCCACTCAGCCACGTTTCTTGGTCGGCAACCAGGCTTCAACCGAAAGAGCTCTCGTTGGCGTAAATGTGTTTGTGATTATTAAGTTATGGCATCTAATTGAGTTTTGAGTTTGTTTGGTTGGCCGGCGTGGGAGTGTGGCAAATGCTTATACAATAGCTAATTGAGTCGATTACTTTAACAGTTCTCACATTATCGCTTGAAATCCGGGTGGCAGCGGATATGTACTCACAAGTTGAATGAAGTGATTCAATCAACAAAAGTTTATTACTCTGTTATACTCAATTTATTTCTTAATCATAATTTTAAGTCAATCAAATTAAAAAATGTTACGAAGGCAAGAGAAGAGTTTTGTCATGATAATTATAGCTCTCGATTTATATATTTAGATTCAGATTTAAGCTTTTATGTTTTCCTGTATATGCACATCTGCATTGCACTTTAATCGGATAAACAGCAATCAAGTCTCTCAGTTTATCGAATTAAACAACGAAAATACCAACCAAACTTGATCAGATTAAGAACATTAAATTAAAGCCCTTCCGCTCTACGTAAATAGCCAACTGCCTTGTTGGTAGAGCTTATTTTCCGTTCCGATTCAGAAGACCCAATGCCCCGCAAATACCCCTTTCCCCGGCAACCTATCCGTATCCCCACATCATCTCCATCGCGTGCTGGTCTCGTATTACAGCATTGCATACTTGCAGGCGCGTGCGCTCCCATTCGATTTGAGCTCTGTGGCGACTTTAAAGAAAAAGCATCAGAGAGTCGAATATGTTGTGACTGTGAAGCTCAATGTTTCGTGTTGATGTAGCTTTTCTGTTATTTTTGTTTTTCGGCTTCCTTAGTGGTATTTTTACAGTTTTCAGCAATGCCCTTTTCGCAGCGTGCTGAGAAGTTCAATGTCCCCCATTTTCCAAGCGTCCGTGCAGCGGAAGTTTTTGGGGCGATAAGTTTTTTGTTCCCTTGCTTATGTTTTTGATTTATTTATTTGTACGCTGCAACTTAAAAAAGGAAGAGAACTCCATTTAAATTTATAATGTACCTAATACTGCATAATTACACAATAAATAAAGGCTAAAATATTTATTTATTCCATTATTTATGCAAATAATTATGAATGCAACAGGTACTTTAGATAAGTTTATAAATGGATCAATTTTGGAATGAATAATTTTGTTCTAATAAAAACCCAGTCACATTTAATAGATGAATTGAATTAATATTAAACGATATTATAATTATATTGACAATACAAATATTATTTTTTGTATGCATTATTTTTAAGATTATCTAATTAATTTTAGGAAATCTTATCGAAAATCGAATAAGAGCACTAAAATATTTGGTTGTTGTTATGAAATGTGTAATCTGCCATCCAAGTAGAGTTGATTGTGGTCACTTGACTGCCTGAATGAAACAGGGATGTGGATGTAGACATTATGTCTGTCTGACTCACTCGGTGGATCAGGATGCCATATCTATGGCACATCCTGCATCGACATCAACAACATGGTTATGGTTGTGAGGGAATTAGAGCGAGTCAAGTGAACTCCTTCTTTCACTTTACCTCCCGCTATTGGGATTTCGATTTCTGCAGCGAAGCATAACTTATGCCCATTGTAGTTATGCATTGAATGTTTTGCTGAAGTGCACAACCGAACAACTCCTCAATCACTCACTGAATCAATCAGTCAGTGCACAAAAACCTCGGCGACGTGAAGGCGTTTGTGGATTTATAAAGCGATGCCAGCAATTATCCGCTTAGATGAAGTTTGTCTATAGCCAATCATCCGTTCCCGGGGAAATGTGCATTTGTGTGTGCTTACTTTGAGTTGTGTATTGTTCAGGTTTTGGAAGCTTATATATCTGCACATTATTCCCATTGAGAGAGAGTTAAGTCTGAATTCGAAGGGCTTAACTATTTTCTCTTAGTCGAATCTAACCAATTATCCATGTCATCTCAAGAGGTAAGTCATTGCATTAAAGTGAGTTAAGAAATTTGTATAGATCAAGGTCTTAACATATGAGTGCGTAATTACAAAAGTATGTGTTTAAAAAGCTTTTAGAACAATAAAATAGGCCCACTAAATAGAAGGCAACTCAGATGTAAATTAAATTTCAATCAAATCAAATTTCCAATTAGTATAAATTTAAGCTTACGCGACTGAAAAGCTTTCAATGCACCGCCGACTATTTTTATTCATTTCCCATTAAGTTAGCACTCAGCCAATGACCCTTGACATTTGATCTGATTTGCACTTTTCTCCACATAAGCTCATATAGAAATTAAATTTATTTTTTTTGCCAATCAGCAAATGGAATTGATTTTCTCCAATGTCCTGAAATTTTGCAATTATACAAAAAGGTTTATGCCATGCAATATGTAAACAAAACCTATTTTAAGTGTTGGCATAGAGTGAATTTAAATTTTTGGTTATTGACCATTGAAGGCAGATGAAAAATGTGCGCATAAATCAGGCAATTAGTCTTAATTTGAGTAACTAGAGCAGATGCTTGCACCTATACTAATAAATCTAATAAATTGCCTCTTTAAAGTGTCGTTAAATTCAAGTTTGGTATAAAACTTTTTTAGGGTGGACGACTTGCGTTAAAGGAGTCGCAGAAAAAAGTTTATAATTAAAACTTTACGCACGTTTTGGCCAAGTAAATAGCACAGACGGCTAACACAAACACAATGCCAACACTAGCGCAAATAAGAAGCCTTGCTTTAGGTCCTTTGGTACGCATGCAGCGTACGAGAATTTTGTGCTGCATACTTAAGTGGGCAAACTCTTCAGAGACAGAACATATGCCAGGGTTAAAGGATCCTGCGGGATGGGGCTGTGGTGGTGCAGGGCCTTGAGATTGACACTAATTATGGAACCAACAGCTCCATGCACAGAAACACTGCCCACAGTTTGCAAACGATTGCAAGCCCCAGCTTTCAGCTGTGTAACCATCTCGTAACTAGCAAACATATTATTCATGAGCAACTGTAAAAACAACAGCAAGCAGAATTGTAAGTCAAATGAAAGTTCATATGTAAATATTTTCAACATGCTGTGTTTGTTCTAAAATTTGGCCAGCCAGTTTGAATTTGGTCAGTTGATTGTTGGCTGCTGCATAAATATATGAATATGCTACAGTTAGGACACTAGCTAACACAATTAAATCGATGAAACTATTTTTTATTTGGTGCATTTCTTTGATTACCAAAATTACACTTAACTATTTTTTAATTTTCCTTCTCGTGTACATGAATTTTTTATTTTATCTTGAGTTCTGACTCACCGATTACAAAATACTTAATAATGTTTGTGTAGCAATTTACCGATTTATTTTTGTAAACTTGTGTAGTTCTTGTTCTTTCGTATTTATGCTTATATCTGAAACAAAACTGAAATTCTTTTTTTTTAAATAATTTCGTTTGACAACTATTATTAATGAGATAATTTAAAATACCGTCAATATTTGTGAAAAGAATGTGGCCTTCAACGACCGAACTGAAAGAGCGTGAGTCATTTCGAGTTAATTGTCTGAGAACGGTTCGTTGCCAGACAGCGGGTTCGTTTTATTTTACTTTTTTAATTATATGCAAATTATTGTAAACTGTTGCGGCTTTGTCTTTTGTGCAGCACAAAATGTTCGTTTACAGAAAACACCCTAAAGGCGGGGTATAATGACCTCAGAGTTTAAAAATGCAAATAATTGGGCCAAAGTAAAATATATATTGAAATACCATTTATATGGACGCAGTTGGTAATCAATTTGATTACGGAAAACATATATTCGATCAAGAAAATATTTTTTTAATTAAATTTATTTATTCAATTCTGTATCTTAACAAACATTTAAACTTGTTTAAGGAATGTCAGACCATATACGAAAATTAAATCATCTTATTCATGCCATTAAATTGTTTTAAACTGCAACCCTGACGCTGTCCTTTAATTTCTGCTGGCCATATAGGCAAGTCTTGTGTGTTTAAAGCAGGCTCTTTTTGTTATTTCAGTGAAAACATTTATTACCCAATTGCCCCTCTTTCCCTTTGGTCACACACAATGTTGTTAATTTCATATGAAAAGTGCATTTATTTGCATTTTCAATGCAAAAGGCTCCCTGCTAGACCAAAAAATTATTGCATTTAATTACATAGCATGTGTTTTCGTTATTGTTATTTCATGTATAAAGCGGATTCATAGTTAAAAATATTTTTGCCTAAAAAAAAATTAATTTCGCTTGTAAACGTTTGAAAACAGGACTAAATAAATTGGATATTGATTTATATGAATTTTATTAAAGATATGTTTGGGAAAGCAAAAAGTAATTTGTGCTCGTTTTGTAAAATCATTGTGAACTATTAAAAAAAAAAAAAACAACATTTTTTTTATGTCTATCAACGCTTGTAAAATTATTATTTAACTGTCATCAGCACGCGGCGTCTGCGACATTGAAAAAACGCACAAAAGCTGCTAAGAAAGGATAAAAAAAATTCTAAAACTGCGTTTGCCTTTATATCTGAAGCATCATTATTCACATGGCACAGGACTGGATTATCAAATCGGGCAACGAAAGGACGAAGTGAAAGCCAGACAAAGAGACAGGCTGAAGTGAAAGTCAGGCAGCCGAGAAAAAAAATAGAATAGCGCAAAAAACAATACCGAGCAAGAAAATTGTAAAAATTATTGGTATAAAGTCACACAGCAGACACTAAAAAAAACTGAACAAGGGCTTATAATACTGATGGACAAGCTTGTCCTTCGGCAAGAAGGATTACTTTTTTGCACTAGGTAGATAGGATGTCCATTACTGGTCGCCCTTGATTATTTTCCTTCGAATTGTGTCTCAAAAA